ATGTGTCTGCCCGTGCGGTGTTCTCATTTTGGGGGTATTCAACATGAAACTCGGGGCAGCGACTAAAGAAGACTAAGTGCTTATTCTGGTGCATGCCCCAAGCTGCTGCTTCTGGTTCCCTCAGCCTTCTAACCTTCTGCAGAGGTGACTTTGCTGGGTGTGTGGCAAATGCTGAATTACAGCAGTTCAGTGTATTTCTAAAACACATTTAAATTGCAGTGGTTTGCAAATAGAAAAGCCCATGTAAGAAGAGATGAACAACTTTTACCCCTGGGTATCTTGGGATGGACAGCAGTCCATGAACATGTACTTGTAGTATCTCACGGAAAGTCCGCAGGTGGAGAGTTGGATATGCTCTTAAAATTAATTCCTTAATAGGTTTACAGTAACTCATGATATCTGTTACAGTGGTAGAGGGATAATATTTCTACTGATACTTTATATGCAGTTTGCAGCCAAGCTTAATATGCAGTTTGGGTGATACATCCCAGATGTATCCCAGGTCGTCTACAGATCTAGGAACCAAAACCGGAGCCCACCAAGATCTGTGTTTTAAAGAGATGCAAAGATACGAATGAAGATAAAGAATTGAAGATGACACCTGGCTGATAGGTAGCAAGAAGCTGAAAGCTGCTAATAGAGTTCAGTGAACAGTCATGTATTTTTAATAGCTTGATTATACCCAGTAAAAAGCCATGCCCTCACAGCTTAGGGCTGTGATGACATTATGCAGAAGTTGGCAGGCAGGAGGATTTGTAATGCGTGCATTAACTGGACTTTCTTTGTATGTGAAACATACCCCCTAAAGAGGGAATGTGTTGTATAGGCAGTACTGCTGCAATGGAAGTCCTTTCTTTGCCGTGCTGAAACTGCTGGGAGCTTGCTAGATTCATGAATTTACGAATGAAGGCTCCAGTTATCTTCAAAGATGAGATTTCATTTGGGGTTTCTCTTAAGGCATCTGGCTGTGCAACCAGGGCTTGAACCAGTAGATACCAGTTGCCACAGGCAGTTGCGTGGCGGTCAGTATTTACCGGCGTTTGGGATACCTGGATGCACGCTGGGTCCCCAGGATTGCGCCGAGCAGGGCGTACCCCGGGCGCCGTGGGAACTGTGCCTGCGGAGTGCAGGTTGGGGGCTCGGCACGGAGAGCGCGCGGAGGCAGGCGGGAGGCATCCCAAAGCCTCCTGAGTTTGGCATCGGGGTTAAAAGAGATCAGTGATGTTCTGTGATTCTGAACGACAGGTCAGGAGTCAGCAGCCCCCATCGTGCAGTGGATTTTCTGCTGTACTCAGGAGGGTAATGACAACTGCCAGTGTTGTAATGGTTTGTTCTAGACGTTGACTTCCTGTGCAAATGGAGACTACTAAAAAAAACACCAAACCCCCAAACAAAACCCACATGCATACCGCTTCAGTTCTTTGCTACATTCATCTGCGGTGTCCGGAGCGCTTTGGCTGCATTGATCTCGCTGCAGGACCAGCGTCTTAGTGCAGCGCTGCATGGTGGAGCATCGCTCTTGCTAATGTCAGTCGTTAGTAATACCCAAATAGATGCACTTTACATTGCTTAGGGTGTTACTTTGCTCTGTTTGTCCTGCATTGGGATTCCATGTGGCTTCTGTAGTAAGGAATTTGTTGTACATGTGTTCATCTTACTGAAATGCTTTTTGATTTTAAATACCCATATTCTGGTTTTCACTACAGGATTACCTCTGTAGGCTGTATAGCAATAGAACTAGCAATAAATATTTAACCTGTGGACCATGAAATAACAATTTCATTTGAAAGAATAGCATAGCTTACAAGGAGTAAAATACAGAAAAATACTTCTGCTAGGTTTTCTGTTCAATGTTTAACATTATACATTTAATTGTGGTGTGTGTCACATGCCACATTCAACCACTGTGCTAGAGAAGATGCATTTTCAAGGAAATGCTTCCCATGCATAACGTGGCCTTTTGTGGGGAAACAACAACAGATGCGTGCAGTCAGATCACTTCACCTTCTTTCTACAAAACCATTTAAAAGAGCCTGAGTGGGAGGGCAAGGTCACTGTGGAAGTGGGGAGACCATCTAAGTTGTTGGAAGAGGATTGAGGTTCAGGGGATAGGGCTGGGTCAGGAGGAGCGATGCCTGACAGCCTGGGTCACAGGAACGTGGCACGATGCAGACCAAAGCTCCAGTGTAATGTGGGAACCCAGGATAGATGATTGAGAACAAGGAGACAGCTGTAGAGGATGTTAGCAGTGAGGCGGTGATGTTTCTACCTCTTGTAAGCTGTTTTGCAGAAATGCTTTATGAATTAAGTGAAAGCTTTTAGCTCAAACTAGGTCAACAAGAGACTCCAGGATGAGCTGATTATAAAATTGCTCATAGGAGAGAGACAAAAGGTATGAACTTTTCACCTGCGTGGTTAGAGCTGACCATAGGATGAGATTGGACTGGTTTAGTTAACCGTAGTGTATTAAAACAGGGTTAAAGGTTGGACCTAGTCTGCCTAGAAACAGGTTGGTGAGTAGATCTGCTTCGTGGTGGTGTAAAAATGCAGCTGCACGTTGGTCGTGAGGCCGACTGCGACGGGGCAGGCTCTGGCACTGCAGGTGTGGCGAGAGCCTTGCTTCTCCCTGCCGTCGCACCTGGGGCTTGAGCGAGGCCCCCTTAATAGATTAGTGTTTCTTAATGCCTTTGAATTCATAGGAATTTCAGTGTTAAGACTTTCTTATGTATCTACACACACACACATCTATCTAGTTGTCATTCAGTATTTGCCTGCTATTGTTTAGATACACTTACATAGTCCCTAATTATTTTTTTTTTTTATTAAGTATAACAGGGAACTAAGTTTGGAAGACCTTTGTTTCTCTCTGAATTTCTCTCCTTCCCAGCTTGTTTGCAGAGGAGGAGACTAGCAAAGGGTTTCTTTCATTCTTTTTTTTCCCAGGTTTTTATCAGCCCCTTGGCAAGAATACCCGAGTACCTCCAGAATCTTTATCTCATCCACCTTCACAGCACTCCCCTGGGGTGGGGGAGTGTTACGGGGCCCATCTTGCAAGTCCCTGGGAATATAATTTTACATCATTTTAGGCAGTGTGGTAAGCTGGAAGCTGAACTCTGGCATCCTAAAGCTCAGGCTGGTGTGTGAATCACTGCCTCTTCCCTTACCCAAGACTTCCTCAAACCCTCATTTATTATCTTCACGAAGGATTTTAGCTTTTCTGAAGCTAGGAACTGAAGAAAGAAATGGTTCTAGTCAGACTCAAGAATATTTGTTTTATTTTTTTTCTCAGTTCTTGATTTACAAGTGTAGTAGGGAAATACATCAAATACAGAGGTGAAAAAACAGAATTTGTTGTAGTCAATCAACATGTCCCAAGTTGGTATGCTAAAAGTCCTGCTTAACCAAAGCAAGTGACATTTTTTTTTTCCTTTTTTTACCACTCAACCATTTCTTCCAGAAAAAAAATCCCACCTTCCTTGCTCAAGCAAAACTTCTGCTTAAATTGGTGGAAATGGGGCTAGCAGCAGAACAAGGATAGCAAGAGGGAAACAGTGAACCTGTGCCCCCAGGACTGTAAAACCCTAAAAAGTAAGGCCCTTTAATCCGTATTTACTTCCTCAGTGCAGCCTTGTGTTATGTTAGAATTATAGAAATGTTTAGGTTGGAAAAGACCTTTAAGATCATTGAGTCCAACTGTTAACCGAGCACTGCCAAGTCCACCACTAAACCATGTCCCTAAGCACTACATCTACACACCTTTAAAATCCCTCCAGGGAGGGGGACTCAACCACTTCCCTGGGCAGCCTGTTCCAGTGCTTGACAACCCTCATGGGGAAGAAATTTTCCTTAACATTCAATCTAGACCTCCCCTGGCCATTTCCTCTTGTCCTATCGCTTGTTACTTGGCAGAAGAGACCAACGCCCACCTCACTACACCCTCCTTTCAGGGAGTTGTAGAGAGCGATAAGGTCTCCCCTCAGCCTCCTCTTCTCCAGGCTAAACAACCCCAGTTCCCTCAGCCGCTCCTCATAAGGCCTGTGCTCCAGACCCTTCACCAGCCTTGTTGCCCTTCTCTGGACACGCTCCAGCACCTCAATGTCCTTCTTGTCATGAGGGGCCCAAAACTGGACACAGCATTCCAGGTGCGGCCTCACCAGCGCCAAGTACAGGGGGATGATCCCTGCCCTCCTCCTGCTGGCCACACTATTCCTGACACAAGCCAGGATGCTGTTGGCCTTCTTGGCCACCTGGGCACGCTGCTGGCTCATGTTCAGCCGGCTGTCGACCAACACCCCCAGGTCCTTTTCAGCCAGGCAGCTTTCCAGCCACTCTTCCCCAAGCCTGTAGCGTTGCATGGGGTTGTTGTGACCCAAGTGCAGGACCCGGCACTTGGCCTTGTTGAACCTCATACAGTTGGCCACGGCCCATCGATCCAGCCTGTCCAGATCTCTCTACAGATCCTTCCTACCCTCCAGCAGATCAACACTCCTGCCCAGCTTGGTATTGTCTGCAAAACAGTAAAGCCTCTAGAACATATGTGGCACCACAATAAGAGGGTGTGTTAAGTGAGGGCATTTATTTCTAAGTAATTTTGTAGCAAATTCAGATTTTGGCTGCATTTTAGAATGGATTATTGCTCACTCTTGAGCAAAGGTCCAGCTAATATCCTAATTTCTCATTAGCTTATCACTGATACATGTCAGCATTGGGATTGACCTGTTTCTTTTGCCTGAACCGCAGAGCTCTGTCACTGCGAATAGCGATGGCATTTGGCCTTGGGAATCAATTTGAAAAACCACAGGTTTTGGAAGGAGCTGTGCTCTAGCGTCCAGTTCACACAGAAAGTGCCTGTTTGCTGTCCATGTGTCTGCTCCATCTTGTCTTTTCAATTTGTCAAGGTAAAGTAGACGAGGAGTAGTAGCATTAGGGATAATGCAGGTGATGGGCTTACGCAGTGACAGCTCCCAGAAGACGATCCAGAAGCCAGAAGGTGCAGATGCTTATATGTGTCGGTTTGGCACGCTAGGTTTCACGTCGGGCTTCCCATTTACAGGTCTAGAGAGAGAGAAAAGGTTTTGATTTATGTTGTGAAAGGAGCAAGAAGGCAATTAACGTATGGCTGTTGATCAGCTTGTTTAGCCTTGGTCTGCAGCCAGGGACCTCCAAGAGCCGGCTGAAAAGTGTTCCTAAAGCCTCTTCGTGCTAGTGAAGGATCTGCCAACATTTCAACTGGTGACAGCCAGTAGTAGCAAGACTTTCTTAAGATACACTGTTAATCAATTGTTACGCTAATTTAAAAAAAAAAAAAGGGCTTTTTTAAAATTTTCCTCTGACTTCTGCACACTTCTGTCCTCTCATCAAGCCTTTCTCCACATTCAGAAATGAATGAAGAAAGAAGAGCTCAGGGCTTTTTTGGAGTGGGGGAAGCTGTTATCAATTCATAAGGACTTTGTCTTGTTGCAAACTGGTTTCCTGCAGAGGAGTTTAAATGGGGGCTTTCTAGAATACCAGTGTGTTCCCAAAATGATAGAAATTACTGGTCTCCAGCAACTGATAGTTTTATGCTGATTTAATGAGTTGGAGATTTGGCACCTGTTTTCACTGAAGATTAATTTGTGGTGGAAAATGAATCCTTCAGCTGCCAGCAAGAATCCCAGGCCAGATCCTGAGGCACTTTTTAATTGAGTGAATTGCACTATTAACTTCCAAAGAGCTTCATTTCAATAAGTGGGAACAGCTCACAGCAGCAGGACTTTCCTCTCTAAATAAAAGCTTAAATATGCTACAATTGCTTAAACCAGGACCCTGTCATGTTAGCGCTGCCGAAGGAAAGCTGTCCTTGATGAGATGATTTCCTGAGGCATTTGTAACCCAACTGCTCCATCAGTGCAAAATTGAAGAGCTCTGCAGCGTGTTTTTCCCCTCAGGGACAGAACATCTTTGCCCAGGGCTGGCAACAGGAATTGAGATAAGCAAAGAATGCAGGCTTTGTCCTAAACAAGGCTGCACGAAGAGCTCTTCGTTATCGGTTAGCCGTTGGAACGCCAGGCGAGGATCAGAAGAGTGCTGGGTATAATAAATATCCAATGTAAAAATGACAGGCTGTTGCCTTTTTCAGACAGGTAAAAGAAAAAGCAGGTCTGTGGGGGCGGCTGTATTCTGACATAAACAGAGAAAGGTTGCACCCAAAGGGCAGAAGGCATTGCCACTCGGTGCCTCTTCCCTTAAATGTTGTTATTATTCAAGCACTGATTTCTGAGGCGTTCTGCCTTGGAAAAAAAAAAAAAAATTATAGGGATCCATTTTCTGTTACTGTAAGGGCAGGGAGGCATTTCCTAGTCATCACTTCCTTCTGAATGATCATATTAATTTGGACAACTGAAAAATTATTAACTTTTTTACTATGAAACCCATGCAGGTATAACAAGGAATTTGAATTTGTCTGATTTAAAAGATGCTCGATTTGCAAAGAATAAGGCTCCAGAGGTGTGGCAATGCTGTTCCAAACTTTCTTGCAACCCAGCTTTTCCAAGCGCTAGCCCAGCGCTGGCCTGGCCGGAGCAGTAGCGGGGATTTCGGTGCTAGAGCACCCTCCTGCCGCAAGCCCTAGGGTGCACTCTCGGCACAAGGCTTGCAAAAGCGCAGAAGTGGGTTTCTGCAGAGCAGACAAGGTGAAGAAACTGCGGCAAGGGAGGTTGATTTGCGGAAGCAAAATGCGTGTTACTCGCGGGCAAAAGGATTTCTTCTTCCAAACTGGCAAATTGCAATTCTTATTCGATAGTGTTTTCCTGTGACTCAGGATGATGCACCCATCATCCTGAGCTGGGGAGGCAGGAGGGAAAGCATGAAAAAAGGATTCCTGTGTGCCCCAGAAAATAGGTTAACTCTCAAGCTACACATATCTGCGTTGCTCTTTCTGAGGAAAGTCATCTAGGGCTGCATCAGCCTCTCTGCTCCTGTCACTTAGCGCCTGTCGGGGAAATAGAGGCGAAAGCCATGGTGGCGGTGGTCCGAAATTGCGCAGACGGGGATTTGGGATGCAATAACTTGCATCTAATCCACGGGCACGAGCTGAAGGTCCAGTGATGAAATCAAAGGAACGGTTTGGGGAGGGGAGGGGAAGGGGAGGGATGAAATACGGTCAGCCCCGGCTCGAGCTGGAGCAGCGCGTCACACAAAGGTGATGTCAGCTATAAGCACCAGGTGACGCCCAAAGTTTTTAGGCTGCCACCAACACCTCCTGTCTTTCTCTTTAGTACCTCCTGCAGTGTCAGTGCTTTGAATTACTTGATACTAAAAAAACAAATGCAGGAGAAGAGAATCTTATCTCTCTTTTTTGCCCTTAATTCACTTCACAGTCCCCTTCCATCCACCGTATATCGGATGAAGTATTTTTAGGTCGCTTTTTGGCACCTGCCTGCTTCATCGCTCGAGGGTGAGATGCTGCTGAGTTTAAGAGAAAGGTGTCAACACCTTTCACGTACTAACCTCTTACATCTGCATCTTCGTCTTCTGGTTCCTAAAATTAGAAAAGAAATCTTTTTAGCTCAAAGATACCGAGTCTCAGCTCAGTAAAGAAACGCTGCAGTAAGGTAAGGCTGGCACTCCTAGCTCCTTGCTATCTTTAAGACGAACAACAGACAAACCAAGCTTATTTTTGAGGAAAGCCATACAAGTGAGCAGTGCTGCAGCTCACGTTTCCCTGGAAGTCCACTTAAGTGTTTTAATGAATTAAATTTGCATGTGAGTAACAGCAGCAGGGTCAGCCTGGGAACACTGATGGTGAATTATTTTGTTTTGCTGCCTCCAGCGACTTTGGCATGTTGCTGAAAATCCACTGGCAGCAATTAATTTCTACAACAGATGAGTGGCAATGATGCCACGCAGCACGCAACCAAGTTGAACGATGCTCTTCCCCATTTTAGCATCTATGTTGTTATGTATTCGGTGAAATACAACGTCGAGCCGTTCATTTTAACACAAGGTAAAAACCTGTCCTTGAGGGTTCGGGCTGCCTGCTGCAGAAATTAGTTGCAGCTAATGGCTTTTCACTGATCATTCACATCAGCATTAAAAAGCAGAAATAAATCACTGAGTGGCGTTTGTAGGTTAATAGACATTGCAGGTCACCAGGGAATCCTAGTGCATGTGGAGGGCTCCTGGTGACTTCAGAGGGAGTTTGGACCAACTCTGGGTGCTCTGCTGCATCATCAGCTATTTCCCCTGAGAAGAATGATTTCTGACTGTGACTTATCAATGTTTTTTCATTTATTCCTTTCTATTGCTCCAGACCGTAGTGATTAGTACTTTTCAGGGCTAAAGGGTGTTGAAAAATTGTATTTTTTTTTTTTTTAACTGGGTCAGCTGGCAAATTCATCTCACATCAGCTCCAGGCTGTGGGGTCAGTGAGGATCTAGCTAGCTTAATTCAGCAGCAAAACACTTTGGTGTTACAGGAAAACAAGCTGAGCCAGTTTAATGAAATTGGTATAACTTCTGGGGGTACCGGGAAACTCCCCGAAGGAAAGTTAAACTGATTTCAGTGAGCGTTAAATTGATTTAAATACATTTGCACTCACTGCTTGCTCAGGGTAATTTAAGACATTTCAAACATGAAATTTCACCAGAGGACTTTTGCCTACCCAGAGATTTTGCATTACTGCCTTAACCATAGCCGTCTCTGAACCTGTGTAATTAAGTTGCTTGGTTGGTTACAGCTCAAGCTGTTAATGGGAGTCTTGGCATTTGAATTTGCAAGCCCTGTGCTGGAGCACGTTTATCCTATTTTGTCAAAGTGTTTCAGGTTCTGGTACTTTTACCCCCAATACACCAATTTAACGATGGTAGAAGCAATACAGTTTGATAAAGTAAGTTTTCTTTATTTAAAATCTGTTTTGCTTCCTTGTAGCATAGAAATTGATAATTGTTTCTTAGGTTAAGCCTACTGATGAGGAAAATACAGACACTGATTTTTTTTTTTTTGTTGTTTTTAAACAGTGGTCCTTCTCTTGGGTTAACTGTTTCCTGGTTATCTGGTGCCTACATAAAGGGGATAGCTGGAAGATCCGCTCCCCTAAAGGACAGGGCTGCTGTTTTCGGCTAGAGGAGTATCTACAGGGGGTTGCTGGTGAGCCTTACGTTGACACAGCATGATGGTGACCACCAGCGCGATGAGGAGCAGGAGGCAGGCGCCTGCCAAGGGAATCCAGATGAAGATGTTACAGAAGAAATTCAGCTCTTTCTCCTTGCTGGCGTCTGCAGGAATAGAGAAGAGGAGAGGTCTGCCAGCTGCTCGCGGCTGGTGTTACGGCCAGCTCAGGTGGAGCCAAGGGGCCCCCGCCTGGCGTTGGGCGAGGCTGGTGGTGAGGCAGAGGGCTTCCCCCGGCCCCCAAAGGCAGAGGTGGGCACCAGGGATGCCCACAAGCGCAGCATGGCTGTCATGCCCAGTGGTGAGTGTTCGCTAGTGCTGCTGCTCTCAGTGCTTTCCTGGGGACTTGAGGGAGGACACGCAGCCAAAAGTTTTCTCATGTCCCCTCCCAAGGCTAAAACCAGCACAGCCCCCAAGGCTCTGCCCTCCCTCCACCTCCTCCCAGTGTGCCCAGCCAGGAGACATGCTCGTGCTTTTTAAGTCATCCTTAGCCTTTCCTAAGTGGGATGAAACGTTGGGGTTTAGCCCTCCCAGCTGCACATACCCATGTATCCGACTCTGATAAAGCTCTAATGATTTTCCCTCTCCCCGCATCCCAAAATGCCTGCAGGATCCCCCTCGGTATCAGTGGACCAGAGCCCAGCTCTCCCCCTCTCCCTCCCCGCAGCTGGGATACCTGGATCCAGGGTCTTCAGGCAGGGGTCCTTTTCGGTGACGCTATGCTGGGCGGTGGGTGCTGGTGTGGTGGGTGCTGCAGTGGTGGTGACTAGAAGTGAAAATGGATGAATACAGCATATGGGGAAATAAAATAAAATAGCGCTCTCCTGCGCTTCTGCTCTCCCACCCCTGCCATGGCACAGCTGCTCCTGTGGCCAGTGTAGGGCTCAGGTCCGGGGGGAATCCATGGAGCCCATTTTGGATAGCGACTCCCCCAAGGAGGGTCTCCTAACACCCAAATAAGGAGCTGCAGGCTCCTTATTTCTTGCTTTCTGCCACCACTCTCAGAAAGCTTGAGTACCCTGAGGTTGGTAGGACTTTGGGGACCTACGTGTGGTGAGGAAGGAGGGGGTGGTGGTGGACTTTGCTTTAGTCTCATCCCTTCAGAGTCATGGATGGGATGGAGAAGTGGGGATGGGGAGGTGATGCTGGGTCTGCCTGTTCATCTTTGCCTTTGGACGGGGGTGATACCACGAGAAGAAAGGGCAAGCAGGGAGCCTCTGGCAGGAGGATGGGTATGTTGGTCACAAGATGCCTTGGGCAAGCAAGCAGGGAAATGGGGTTTATGGGAAAGGCGGCTGATTAAAAAAGGCATGGGGAGGGGGTGCTGGACATTTTGGCAGAGCTAAGCAAGGCTGGGTGGAGGTGTTGCTGACCTGGCAAGAAGGCAGGCTGGCCAGAGCTGAAGTACAGCATTTGGTTGCTGTTCATGAGGCAGAAATAGTTCCCCTCATCCTGTGGTGTGAAAGACTTCACTACCAGCCCGTAGAGCTTTCCGTTTTTTGTTGCCTCAAAGCGTGCGGATGTCCTCTCGTTCCTCTCGAAGGTGGTCCGGGACAGGGAGGAAATGAAGACGATGAAGTGAAGGGTCCCATGCTTGTCCAGGCGGATCCAGAACATGCCGCTGTCCTCCTTGGCAGCCAGACAGTCCAGCTCCAGCCGCTGTCCCACCCGCGGGTGCTTGATGCTGCTGTCCCGAAACTTGGTCTTCATGTTGTACCTCTGGCCCCAGATCCCAGGGCAGCCTGCAGGAGAGAAACCCGCATGGGAACTGCTTGGGAAGAGCCACGTTCCCTCCTGGCAAGCCTTGTTCCCAGTCCGTGGGGTGTGAGGTCAAGCGCAAAGGCTGCTTGTGCTGTCTGGGTGCCTTGAAGGTTCTGTTGGCGTCCTCGCTGGGACCGTGCGTGGAGGGTGCTCGGCAGTCAGCCACACGGGCTTTAAAGATGTGTGCTGCCCTTCAGAAAGTCCCTTCAGCTGCCTTCTTGGGGATGGCACCCCTTCTCAGCTTCTCTGACATGACTCCCTAAAAACACTGACTGCTAAATCCTCTTTTTTCCCCCTTCCCTCTCCCCTCCAGAACAACTTCTCTGACCAGGCTCCCTTCCCGGTGCGTATAGTGCTGCAGCCACTCCTCTGCCCTACGCTGGCTGAGTTGATGCCACCTTTACCTCCACAATTACTGAGCAAATCTCAAAGTCAGCCTTTTTGGTTTGATTCTTATTTCCCTTTAACTATTTAGCCCAATTTCTTGGATTTATTGGAAGAGGTTTACCTCCCCCCCGCCCCGCCCCCCAGTGAAGGTGATGCACAACCCTGTGTCCATACTCACAGAGCCCCAGAGCGAGCAGAAGGAGCAGTGCAGGACACTCGGACATCTTCTCCTAGGGGTGGCTGTCCTTCAGGATGGTGCAGCGGAGCAGAGATGATCTTTCTCGCTTGACTTAAGAGGCTGTGTCGCTCTTTGGAGAGGATGTGATGTCATCAGGACCCTCTTGGGTAAAGACACAGTGTTCAGCACCTGAGGCAAAATGAAGGGGAAAAAAAAAGATTTCTGAAGAAATTAAGTTCAGATCCAGAATTTGGGCTCATTTATCGTTATTGGTCCTCAACAGTGCCTCAAGGATTTTGCCTCGATGGCTTCCCTAGACATTCAGACTGATGATGCTTGTGCCTAGAGGAAGGATCAGCCACTGCAGCCCGCTGTCTCCCAGCCATCTGGGGGTTCACAGCAGCTCCAGCTCTGCAGAAGACACGGACAAGCCCCATGCTTTGGCTGCAGGCCCCAGGTTGAGCTTCTAGGCAGGGTTTCTGCTGCCTTCACTTGCGCCCACTCGAGGGGTCTCGTGCAGGTGGCAGAGCACACCATATTTTATTACCCAGCAAGCAAGATACGGGTGTTTCATGGCATATATCCATGTGTATTTTTTATCTCTAAGCACATGCATTGCTGACACGCAGCTGAGTTCTTCAGGTGCTCCATTGGTCTCTTTGCAATTCTTCTTTGCAATTGCTCTGCAAAAGCTGCTTTGTGCAAGGCAGGTGGTCTGTGATCTGAAACCCACCAAGAAAGCCCCATGCCCCAGGGATATGCTTTTTTTTTTTTTTTTAACATCTTGTGGTTTTCTTCTCTAACCACAGGGGCTTCCGCCCTGCTAAAAATGCCTGTGTGTGCTTCAACGGAGAGGGCCCTTGCTGCTGCCTCCAGGTGACCACTTGCACATGGGTGTGGGTGATGCTTCCTGGAGCTTTGCACATACAACAGCAACAGTTTCACCAGGCTGCAAGCGGTGGGCTGATGTATTATTTATTTATTTGGTTGGCACTTCCTG